TCCATTTGCTGGCACCCAACTCTCACATGTGGCTCCACGTAGCTGGGCTCTGCTCAGCGGCCACACCCCGGGCAACCGCCTCGACCGGCGGGCTAAACCAGGTGAGGGCGCTGTGCGTTTGTGCCGCGTGCACAGTGTACTGCGGGCTCCGCTGGACGTTTGGTCGGATGAAACGTTGCGCCGGCGTCGTCGAGACGAGGCTCTGCCTGGTACGCCGTTGGACAGCTGCTGCCGGGATGGGTCCCCGCATCGCCTTCGCTGAGACGCGCCCACCTACGCCGACGGAGACCGCAGACCTCGGCATATGCGGTCGTTCTCCACTACAAACATAAAACCGTGGTACCATAGCGGAGTTCGGCCAAGCCAATCGGCACATGGCAGCCCTATTCAGGGGGCACTGCCTGTCCCCATTACGGGGGAGGGCCTAGAAAAGGTGGCCTAAAAATTGCTGGGCACCACGCCGTCTCCAGGCTAGCCAGGGCCGCAGACGTCTTAACATGGTCGAAACACTCAAAACCGAAACAACAAAAATACCAATAATAACAACAACAACCATACTCATCCTCCTCATTCTAACTCGTCTTCACCTTCCTCCGTCTATTCTTCTGCCTATTCTTCTCCTTCGTCATCTTCTCCTCCACCTCCTTCCCGTGGCCCCACTCGTTTTCCCCAGACTGACAGTTTGAGCCCACTCACTCTGGCAGCCTGGAATGTTCGTTCCCTTTTAGACAATCCGAGGAGCACCGACCGGAACGGAGGACGGCGCTAGTGGCCCGGGAACTGGCGCGCTACAAGGTGGACATCGCCGCACTCAGCGAGACCCGATTCTCCGAACAAGGCCAACTGGAGGAGGTGGGTGCCGGTTACACCTTCTTCTGGAGTGGTCGACCCAGGGCAGAGCGACGAGACGCGGGTGTCGCCTTCGCCATCCGGACCGACATCGTGGGACGACTGCCCTTTTTGCCGCAAGGAAGCAACGACCGTCTGATGAGCCTCCGCCTGCCTCTCAGGCGAGGAGGCAAGTTCGCCACCCTCATCAGCGCCTACGCTCCACCGATGACCAGCCCCGACGCCGCCGCAAGAGACAAGTTCTACGAGGACCTGCACGCCCTCTTGGCGACTGTGTCGAAGGCGGACAAGTTGATTGTCCTTGGCGACTTCAACGCCCGCGTCGGCACAGACCATACTGCCTGGAGGGGAGTGCTGGGTACTCACGGTCTCCGCGGCTCCAACGACAACGGCCTGCTTCTCCTCCGCACCTGCGCAGAACACCGCCTCACCCTGACGAATACCTTCTTCTGTCTGCCGGAGCGAGAGAAGGCCACCTGGAGGCATCCTCGGTCGCGTCAGTGGCACCTGCTGGACTATGTCCTCGTCCGGAGGCGAGATCAGCGGGACGTGCTGGTGACGAAGGCGATCGCGGGTGCTGACGGGTGGACCGACCATCGCCTCGTCATCTCGAAGATGCGTATTCGCCTACAGCCTCGCAGGAGACCACAAGGTAAGCGACCCCCAGGTAAGCTGAATGTTGCTTTGTTGTCTTTGACTGCTCACCGTCTCCATTTCAGCAACGAGCTAGCTCAACGGCTAGACAATTTTCCTATCGCTGCCGCCGCCGACGACGCCGCCGCCGCTGCCGAGAACACCTCCGTGGAGAACCGCTGGTGTCAACTGCGAGACACGGTCCAGTCGACGGCGCTCGCCGTCCTCGGTTGCGCTCCCCGCCAACACCAGGACTGGTTCGACGACAACGACGCCGCCATCAGAAATCTGCTTGCTGAGAAGAACCG